CCACACCTCCCCACCACCACCCCCCACCCCCAGCCTAGCTCAGCCTCCCCACTCCTCCCGTGCTGTGTTAATAGCTCATTCCTCGTTACACGGTGGGTGTTCCATCGTGTGTGCAGAGCTTATCCATGCACACCCCCGGGAGCGTTTGGGCCATTTACAGTTTTTGGCAACTAGGACAGAGCTGCTGGGAGCGCAGGGACCCGTGGAAATGGGAGGCTTCGTTTCTTTACGGAAGCCCCCAGTGATGTCTCAGGCTGCCTTCTCACCCCTAGCCTAACTGGCCGGCCAAGAGAAAGCAGTTTTGACCTCTGCCCCTCCCCAGCCTCTGGAATGACCTACTCCCAGCAGGGGGCTGAGAGCGGGGAGGACTGCAGAGCTGAGCCCTAGGCCCTGTGGACGGGAGAGGAGTGCTGGGTTCTCACTGGGGGTCAGGCCCTGGCTTACCGTTCCTACAGCTTGGCTACGGGTACAGGAAGGGGAAGAAAGGGTACTACTAGGGCCTGGGGCCATTACAGGAGGAGAAAAACCTTCCTGACAGAATAGCGCAGGTTCAGAGTGGCTAAAAGCGCGGGTGTCCCTTTGCTGGTCTGTGGCGGAGGCAAGGAGAGGCTGAGCAGCCGGCTGAGCGGAGGGCTGGGGGCTGCCTCACGGCTGGGGAGGTGATCTCCGGGTTGTGTCTGGGAGCATGTTAGGGGGCCTGAGGAGGGAGTGAGGGAGAGGCACCGCCAGAGTCCGCGAAGCAGCAGGATGGGGAGTCGCACGCAGTCCCGTGTCCCCAGCACTGGGTCACAGGCGCTCTGCTTTAGCCCACCTAGTTGCCATCACTCTGTGTCCCCATTGGCACTGGTGCCTACGAGGACCCCTCCACAAAGGCTCTCAGCTGGAGCCAGCACGAGACTAAGAACAGGATCCTCCTAAGAACAGGATCCTCCGTGGCAGGGCCAGGCCTTGCTCAGGCCGGTCTGGGTTCATCATGCCCCTCCTCTAATTATTCTTAGTCTCCTTCGGTCATCCGCCTCTCCCACCTGTAATTTTCTGGCATAGGGGGAGCCATCTGAGTCTGCTGTGTCCTCCGGACACCTGCAGGGCCGGGGACTGAGGGCAGCTGTGACGTGGCTGGGCCCAGATAGGAGCTGCGCCAGCTGCCCCATGTGTTCCCTGACAGTTCCCTTCCTCTGCTCGCTGGCCCTGCTCGCCGGCCCTGCCCGAGCGGCGTGGGGCCGGAGGTGCGGAGGGCTGTTCTTGGGCACCCCGCTGCCGGGCCAAAACCTCACTTCCCACTCATTCCCCTGCCGAGAACCAGTCACAGCCTGACTCAGTGCCGTCTGAGGAGCGGCCCGAGCACCAGTTCCAGGGCAGACGTTAGCACCTGTGCCTAGAGCCAGGACCCAACGCGGGGAGCCCGTGGCACACCGGGCTGACTCAGGGGCTGGAGCCAGGGCGGCCTGGCCCTCCCGGGGCCCCTGCTTGGAACTCTGCCAATGTGGCCACTGGCTTCAGGCTCACAGGCCGGGCAGGAGTCATAGGGAGTTGTGCTTGAAGGCAGCTAGGTGACCCGAGTCCAGCCATGCAGCTAGGCTGGTGGCCCAGCCCAGGGCTCCTCTGACCTTGCTGCAGATTCAGGAGGCTGAGGATGCTACTCTCCCCTGAGAAGGACGGACATGCCTGTCTGGACAGAGCACAGCTCACACGTGGAGCTGGGGGCTGTGGTCTGCGTCCCTCTTCACAGCTCAGAACTCAGGTGGCGGCGCAGACATCCAGTGTCTGACTTCAGGGGGTCCTGATTCCCACCCCCGGCTTCCCTGGCCCCGTCATGCATCCTCGCCAGCTTTACTTGAGGGGGAGACCGTGCTGGACAGGCAGGCTGGTGCCCGGCTGTTGAGCTCGACTTCTCTGCTCACTGAGCCCCTGGACAAAACCCCCATCCTGCATCTACTTGGCCATCCGAGAGGCAGGGGAAAACCCTCCCTTTCCCAGGACCCAGAGCCTCGCGAATTCCTTTCTGCCTTACCCACTGAAAAGAACTTGAGACTTTCACAGACAGGAAACCATCCTCAAGGCCTCGTAAGCATTTACCATCATGAAGCAAGTTCCCAGGAGGAAGAGTGACCCATTTAGCCGGGCAGAGCAGGAGCGAACGTCTGGAGAAATCTGAGCTCCTCGTGCCCTTTCAGTCCCGCTCAGGTTCCAGGTTCGTGCTCCTCTCTGGTCTCCTTTGCTGGGCTCAAATTCTCAACAACTGGAGGGGAGTGGGGGGAATGCTCCCGGCCCCAGGTCCTCCCCGACAGCCTGGAAGGAGTCAGCTGGGCCCCTTCCTGCTTGTACAAGCATCCCCTCCGGGTGGGGGGTCAGGACCTCCCTAAGGCTGCCAGGAGATGCGCCCTGTTTGCCTCCTGCAGGGCAACCTTACGGCGAGATTCAGGACAGCCACTGGTCACCAGCCACCGATGCTTCCGCCTTCTTGCCCAGCCTGGCCCAGCAGAGCACACTTGTCCTCGGCTGCCAGGGCTCGGACAGTCCCCTGCATCATCACCGAGCTGCAGGGCTTGAACTGGGAGGAGGGACTGCAGACGGCGCCCAGCAGGAGCCCACGGGAGGGGTGAACCAACAGGAGGGAGCAAGCCAGAACCTATGGGCCTTTTTTTCCATTCTCCTTTATTCCATAAACACCTAGTTACAAGTTGCACAAATCAAAAAATAAAGAAAGGCAAAGGAGGGCGTAGGAAAGTTTCTGTGCCGTGAGTGTGAGTGTGTGTGTGTGTGTGTGTGCAGGAGGAAGAGGGAAAGGGGGGAACCCGTCTGCTCCCTCCGCAGCCCTGCTGTGGGGGCTCTGAGGAAGAGGTGGGCAGAGGTCAGGGTAGCTAAGGGATGGAGGTGGCCCCTAAAACCAGAGCTCACCCCCAAAAGACCCTTCGAAGCGTGGCCAGAGTAGAACAGGGAAGGAGAGGAGGTTCTAAGATGGAGCAGCAAAATGGAGAACCCAGTGAGTGGCTCCAGGAGAAGAGGGGTCAGCGTGGTGGAAGGTTAAAGGAGGAAAAGCAGTAGAGGGGACAGTGAAAGGCTCTCCCTGAGACCCCCAGGGAGAGGTGGGGGCCAGCTTGCCTGTTAATTTAATATTAAATTGGGGTGGGAACTGGAGAGGGACGTTTCAGGGATGACGTCTCAGCCTCTCAGCTGTACCTGGAGGGGACAGAGACGAGCGAGTCAGCCAGAAGCACGACCACGACAGCCGGGCTGTCCCAGGGAGCGCGTCTGTCTCTTCCGGTGCCAAGAAAAACTTGGCCTATCAGAGGCGGCATCTGCTGGGAACCTGGTGGCTCCGCTCATGGCGGAGGAATGTGCCCGGGCGTCCTCCCCAGCCCCTCCCGCTGCGCACCGCGTGGTCCCCCAGGTACTTACAGGAGCGGCTAAGGGCCTCGGGCCCTCACCAGTCATAGCGGCGGGACTGTCGGGAGGGGGAGTCTTCAGGTCCCTGAATGGCCAGGCGGGGAGGTCCCTCGGCCCTTCGCCCCCCACCTCCTGAGGCCTCATGTCGTCGGAATTCCAGAGGGCGCTGCTGCCGGAACCGGGAGGTCTCCCTCCGCCACTCGTCATCAAATGCTGCGGCCTCACCTGAAGGACAGGGCAGAGAGGTGCCATGAGCAGCCTGGAGTCCAGGGGGCACGAATGCGCCACTCTTCTGAGGCCAAAAGCCGGGGCGAAGGGTGAAAGTGTGTGTGGGGGCGGTGGGGAGTTTCGTTTTGCTCCCTGGGCTTCTGCACGGTCCCTGAAGCCACAGGCAGGTGAGCAGTGACGGGGGACAGGCCGCGGGAAGGCAGGCTCACTCTCGTCCAGGTTGATGTAGTCCTGCCGCTCCTCCTGGTCGCCGGTGCGGTGGTTTCGGGAGCGCTGGAGGATGTGCGCTCTGTCCCGAATGTGGTGCCCGATGGACATCTGCTCCAGTCCGCTGTCCGAGTCCCGGACGGTCCTCCGTGTCTCCCGGATCTGGGACGAAGCAGAACGTGGCACCCTCAGCTTCCTCCAAAGCCTGGCTCTGCACCCTCCATCCGGAAAAGGGAAGCCGAGGTTTCTGTAGGTGCCACGCGACGATGTCCCTGGGCAGGAGAGCCCCGACTCACCCCGCCTGGTGCCGAGCGCATCTCTGACGTCTCCTGGTAGACCTTGGGGGCGCCGTCTCCCGTGTTGGAGTAGGAGATGACGGTGGAGGAGGAGAAGGTCTGGCAATTGCCTCCAGCCGTCATGTGTTCCTGAGGAGGAGAGGGTGCCCGTTGTCACCAAGTCAGCTATGAGGACTGCAGAAACAGCAGGACTCTGCCCCGCTTCTGTCCTGGGAGTCCCACAACACACAGGACCTTGGGAGACCGAGCCTAACTGCACCCCTACCCAGCGTCCCACTGCTGCCCAGCAGGCGTGACGGCAGATCCAGTACCCCGGGGCTCTGGGCAATGCCTCTACCAGCTCTGACCCTTCCCTAGCACTCTTCCCCGTCGCAGAGGGTTCGAGGTGTTGCCAGGTGTCACTCAGAACCAGCGGGGGAGGCACCAGAGGGGGGCAAGGTCTCACCATGTTCCCGATCATGTCGTTCATCATCCCAAACATGTCCATGAAGCCACCCGACTGGAGCAGAGAGACAGGGAACAGGGTCAGTGCTCCCACGACCTTTTCCAGGTTCCCACTAGCCACATGGCAATGCAATCTCTGTCCCTTCCGTCACATCTAGCAACTGCTCCTTCTCTGCGAGCGCGACTAGAATACCCATGTCTCTCTCCTCCCGTAACCTGCAGCCTCCCTTGTCTCTACGGCTGCTGGGATCCCATTTCCGCCTCCCGACTGTCACGTTTCCCCCATCCTTACAGAGCAAGCCAACGTCAACCGATTCTGATCTCCTAAAGAGACAAGGTGTGATGCTGCTCACAGCTACTAAGAACTATTTCTAGCTGGCCCCTCAACTGCACCTCCCTCCTCAAAGAACAAACTTCGCTAGGCAATTTCATCTTCCTAATGGGTGTGTACTTCCAGGAGTACAATAATATCTTTAATAAGCAGGACCAGCAGTTGGCATAATGGCTGTCGCTGGACTCCCACGTAGTTGACCGTGGTTTGAGATCCAGACCCAGTGCCAGGCACGTGTGCATGCGTGCCCAAGATCCCAAGGGGAGAATGGAAAAGGGATTGTGGTGTTGTTATCCCTTGGGGGGTTATTTCTCGCTTTCTGTCTCTCTCTGTCTTTCTAGCAAGTGCATGCGCCCTATAACAAAAACCTCTCAAAAAAAAAAAAATCTTTAATGCACAAGACTCAAAACACCCAACAGACACAGAACTTGGTGGACAGTATAAAGAGAGAAGATGCTGGGGTTACTGGTGAAGCTATTCCATCTGGAAAGGACATCTAGGGTGACAGTGTGCCTGAGATGGAAGGACACAGGGAGATAAGGACTTACCATTCCCAGCATCCCGAAGGGGGAGACGGCCCCAGCCTACAGAAACACACGAGGAATAGAAATGAGAACCATATCCTATCTCAGGACGATCGCGAACCAGGCCCTTGGCCTTGAGCTTTTTCCATTCTCCTCTCACTTGCTTAGTTGGCTTTAGAGCATGAAAAGAAAGTGCTAGACCAGCCACCGACCAGCCGGCCCTGGGCCTCAGGTAGTCCAGCCACTTACCTGCATCCTGCGGCTGGCAGGCCTGGTCCCTGGCATGCTGCCATCTGTGATGCTGAGGAAGGGGCTGTATCCAAAGCCACCCGACAACATCCGGCTCATATGCTGGCGGTGAATGGCAAAGGGGTCCCTGCGGAGCGGGCACCCAGTGTGGGTGGCAGAAGGGAGGGCCTGACGTCAACTCCCTCCCGTCCCCTGGAAGACAGTCACAGGGCCACAGAGGCACCACCGCCTACTTCCCTGGAAGCCGGGGCAGGAACTGAGCGTCCACCCAGTGCCAACCATCCCCAGCCACGGGAAGCCGGCTGCCTGCTGGCACGGAGAGCCGGTGGGGTGGGACGAGTTCGAGAGAGGAGCGGGAGAGAATACTCACATCAGGAACATGGGATCCTCCGGCTCCACGTCCCTCATGAACCGGAACATCCTGACCTCGGCTCCAGGGGGCCCGCGCTGTGAGGACGGCCAGGCTCAGACACGGGCCGGCCGAGCTTCCACAGCAGGGGCGCAGGGCTCCGAGCACTGTCCCTTCTGAATACTAACTGCCCCCAAACTCCAGGGAGTCTTCCCGGGGGTGCCACACAACCCTCCAGGGAGGGACGAGCTCCTCCATCAGGGCCGTGGAAAATTCCCCCAAGCCTGTTTTCGCCTCCCCCACTCGGAGCCGTCGCTCCCCAGCTCTGGCCTGGAACTCCTCCCTCAGGGGCGCAGGGCTCCGAGCACTGTCCCTTCTGAATACTAACTGCCCCCAAACTCCAGGGAGTCTTCCCGGGGGTGCCACACAACCCTCCAGGGAGGGACGAGCTCCTCCATCAGGGCCGTGGAAAATTCCCCCAAGCCTGTTTTCGCCTCCCCCACTCGGAGCCGTCGCTCCCCAGCTCTGGCCTGGAACTCCTCCCTCCTCCCTCGCCGCGGTTCCAGATGAGAATCCCGAGGACCGGCCCCCAGACCCGCCGAGGACCCCCCGTGCCCCTTCCCCACGCGCCGCCACCGGCCTCCCCGGGGCCTGGCCGTGCCCACCCCC